GGGCTGGGGTCAGACTCCTGCTTTTGTTTTGAAGGGCTGGGGTCAGATTCCTGCTTTTATTTTGAAGGGCTGGGGTGAGACGGGCGGTGCACGTGGAGCCTGTCATTAAAGTAACCGCAGCTTTCATCATGGAGAGCAGCCCCCACCCCCCCACCCCACCCCGAGCGGCACCACCACATGGAGGAACAATGACTTGGCACAAAGCGGGAAACATGAGTCAGCATGACTCATTAAAGCCCGGCTCTAAAAAAGGATTTTAAACTATATTTAAGATCCTAAAAACGATGCGCATGCAGTTATTAGTGGTCCTTGTGTTCGGGGGGGGGGGGGGGGGGGGGGGGCTGCACTTTGTGTTTAAAACGTCTCTGGTTCATAAGACTTGAATCAAAACTGTGGTTAGGGTTCTGGATGTGTGGCGTTTAGCTTCACACAAACTGTGACTCTTTGAAGTGGGGTTCTGTGGGAAGTTATGAACAGTTAACATCCTACCTGTTGTAGGTAGCTCGTTGAACGGCCTCAGTTCAAATGGAGTTTAATTGTGCTGCTTTAGCTTCCATCGAGCTTTAGATACATTTATCTTCGAGTTAGATTCTTCATGCTTTTATGCTTTAGCTAGCCTTATGCTACTTTTATTTTCCAGCTAACATTTAGCTACTTTGAGCTTCCATCTAATCTTGTAGTACTTCTATATTTAGACTGACTGACTGGCAGACGGGTGGATAGGCGGATAGATACTTTAGTAAGCCCCAGGGGAAGTTTAAGATTCAGTATGGCTCCCTACAGGAAGTGCTACAGCTAGCTGCTGCTGGTAAATGACAGGAGATTAATAAACAACCAGCTGACGATCATAACAGATTAAGATTGGTTTAAGTTCAGTCCATTCTGGTCAGATTAGCCATTAGCTGTCAGTCAGCTGTAATTTCTCTAATCTAGGGCCCTTCGGCTGATGTTGGAACCCGGAGGCAGCAGCAAAAATCCCAGCTAGTTGTTGTGAGTGTGTACTCGTCCTCTGGTGTGTATTTCAGGCAGCTGTAAATCACTGCGGTCGAACTTCAAAGCCTCGTTCTGTGACGCTGCTGAGCTTCATCCCTCGGCGAGTTTATTTCAGCCGGCAGTTTAGTCTGGATTGTTTCTTCGGCATGGAAATATGAATCACTAAGTGTCTGGATTGTTTTAATTCTACCATCTCGGCTCATTAAAAGCCCCGCAGCTTCTTTTAGACTCACTTAGTGGCTGGTGTGGGCGTAAACCGGTGCTCTGTCTCCACCTGGCGGTCGTGGCTCGTCCTCGCGGCTGATACCATCAGAGCCCTGCTCTCCAGCTCCAGATGTTCCCCCCTCCTCCCTGTGGTTTTACAGATGCTGTGTCCTTTAGCTGACAGCGGCGGGGCAGTAAATCACATCGAGTTTACCTTAGAGACCCAATAATGAGAACGTTGGCTTGAACGGTGCACGTCGGCCTTTCTTGTGGCCTGCTGGGCGGAGAGGGGAGCGATCTACGTATTCATTAAAGTCTTCGGCTGTTTTTTTGTCTCTTCAGGTCTCTCCTGCAGCAGCTGCAGAAGCTCCAGGCTCTGATTTCAGGAAAGGTCATCCCTCGTTCTTGTAAAATGGCCTCGACCCAAACAGGAACGTGCATCATGGTAAAACATTGGCGCTTCCTTTCACTTTTAATAAGCAGCTGTTCCTCACAATGAGGCGAAGCTCACCTCGGCCTGGTAGTAGCTAAAGATGTTCCCCATCACAGCTGGTAAAGTGGGTTTAATTGGACTCTTGTTGATAAAATTATCAAAAAGGTTAGCTAAAATGTAACTATTAAAAGCTAAAAGTAGACAAAGGCTAGCTAAACGTACCAAAAGATTATGTAGTAGCCAAAAAATGCAAGAGACTAGCTAAAATAAGCAAATTACCAGCTAAAAGTGGGCAAAGGCTAGCTAAAATGATATGAAGATTAGCTAGAAGCCATAAGTAGCAAATATGCTAGCTAACTGAAACTAACAAAATGATAACTACAAGCTAAAAGTAGACAAAGGCTAGCTGAAAGTACCAAAAGATTAGCTAGAGCTCATGACAGGTGAGTTCACGTCGGACGTTTTTGATCCAGGATTCAGTTTCCGAACAATCCGTCCCGAGCGTGAATCATGATGATCTGATCCGGTCATGTGGAGGACTTGGCGTCTAAACCTGCGTAACTTCCTTATTCCTCAACGAGTTCAGTCGTTTTGATCCACGTCGCTACATTTAAGCTTTCGTCTTGTTTCAGTGGTTCACTGGACTTTTTGTGTCTTTAGACAAAAGTGGAGAAAAGTGACGTTTTAAATATAATTACAAAATGAAAAACTTTTCTGTAAATAACGACCAGTCTTGGTCAATGTTTACAGAAAAACCAGACTTGTCTTGTTTTTAGCTGCAACTTATCAGACGTTCATAAAGAATTGTTCACCGCACTCACAGGAAGTGCTGGGGATGACTCTCAGCTACTACCACGTCAGGTTTGAGCTCAGTATCTGTCAAACTGACCGACTAGTCGCTTAGCTGTGTCGGCCATTTTGAATCAGTTACTCACTCACACTGGCAGAAACTATTTTTATTGGTATCAGGACAATAAATACCAATTTATTGGTATTTATTTGTTGGCTCATTTCATATCCGCCATTTTTCTCTGCTGCAGGACCCGACTGGTCCAATTCGTTTGTTTAAATCCAAACCTTGGTCTTTCAGCTTCAAAGCTGAGCCGTGTCCAAACAACAGATCCAGACGGTTCTGGCACATTTCAAGTAAAGGTCTTTTGGGCCGGATACATGAATAACCAGGACGGTCTCTGGCCCACGGGCCGTAACTTTGACCTCAGTCCATGTTTGGACTCGGCGTTTGTCTTCGGGCTGTTTAGAGACGAGCGGATCGTGTTCGGTCCAGGACTGTTGAGATGATTTGTTAATCCGGGGTCTGGCCCTTCTCTCCGTACAGATGGTGGTCCTCTGCTTCGTCCTGGTGTTGGGCTCCTTCTCTCCTCTGTCTTCTCTGTCTCACTCCTCCTCTTTGTCCTCCTCCTCCCCGCCGTCCTCTCACCCTTCGTCGTCGGCGGACCTCTACATGACCAGTCAGGGTACGTACAGGAAGCTGCTCGGTTTTTTATGTTTGTTTGTTTGTTTTTCGGAACTTTGTATCTGAATTATTGACATAAACAACAACAAAAACAAGCAAACAAAAAAACAACATTTAGTGCCAAGACGTGTCACAAGGTCTGAACCTGGAGGGATTTCTTTTACATTCACCTGGAAAGTTTGACTTTCACTATAAATTCACTTCCTCTAACCCAGGGGGTCCAGTCCTGGTCCTGGAGGGCCAGAGTCCTGCATGTTCTAGATCAGGGGGTCCAGTCCTGGTCCTGGAGGGCCAGAGTCCTGTATGTTCTAGATCAGGGGGGGGTCCAGTCCTGGTCCTTTAGGGCCACAGTCCTGTATGTTCTAGATCAGGGGGGTCCAGTCCTGGTCCTTTAGGGCCAGTGTCCTGTATGTTCTAGATCAGGGGGGTCCAGTCCTGGTCCTTTAGGGCCAGAGTCCTGCATGTTCTAGATCAGGGGGTCCAGTCCTGGTCCTCTAGGGCCACAGTCCTGTATGTTCTAGATCAGGGGGGTCCAGTCCTGGTCCTGGAGGGCCACAGTCCTGCATGTCCTGTAGATAAGGGGCCGAGATGGTGTAGAGGCAGGGCAGCCGGCTTGGGACCCGAGAGTCCCAGGTTCGATCCCCAGTCACTGCACATCACGTGGCGTCTCTGGGCAGCACGTCTAATCCCCAAAATGTCCCCCGGGCGCTTTCAATAGCTGCCCACTGCACCACCTGGTGGTGGATGGGTTAAATGCAGAGACTAATTTCGCCATTGTATGGAAACATACAGTGCTGACATTGTGATGACATTATTATTATTATTATTATTATTATAATTGGGTTGCCATGTCAGAATCCAAGATGGCTGCTGTTGATAGATTTGATATCATGAAAGAGTTGGGGATGACTCTCAGGAACTACCGCACCAAATCCACCGTTGGATCCAGCGTTGCTGGTTCTTCTTAACTTATTTGCATCTGAATGTAGGTTTGTGGTTTGAAAGATATTTTGCTAACACAGCAGCGAGTGACTCTGTGTTTGTGTCTCAGTCCGTTCCCGCAGCCTGCTCTTCTACGACGAACGGGCTCCTCTGGAGGAGAGTTTGCTGCCGTCGGACGGCGAGAGGCTACGGTCAGGCCACGCCCACATCCAGACGCGCCGCCACACGGCCGACGCCCACAAGAACCGGACGGCCGGATCCGACGCAGACCAAAGGTAGCGAGCGCCTCTTTGGACGGAGCGCGTCAGCCGCTGCTCGCCAGGTTGTGACCGGCTCTTCTTCTCTTTCCAGAGAAAACGAAGCGGGCGACGCCTCCAAGGTTTTCTGACCCGAGGACCCCGCCCCCCCGCCGACAGCGCCCGGGTCCCTGCTGGTCCCAGATCAGCCGACGGCTCGTCCTGTCAGCGTCACCGCTCGACAAACTTCTTCACATTTCCTCGTTTCTGCACAAAAGTCTCACCTTCACGTCCAAATTCTACAAATTATGAGTTTAAAACAGGACAGAGTCGCAGCAAGACTAAAAAAAATTATTATTTTAAGTTTTCTGTAAAGAAACACCCAAAAGTGCATCATGGGAAATGTGGTTGAAATCTAAAATGTCACAACTTGCATCTAATTTCCGTTTAAAATCATAAAAATACAGTTTTTTTTACGTTTAACCTCCAAAGAGCTTTAATTTTATTTATTTAAAGGCTTGTTTCCTTATTTACACTTTTAATTTACTTAATTTGTACAAATAATCATCCAACTTTAATTAAAAAAACAAATTATTACATGAAGCAGTGTTATTTTAAAAGTGCCTTCCACATTTTTCAGTCCAGTTCGGCTTTAAATTAATTTTTACTGCTCAGAAATTAAACTTTAGTGACGTTTCGCTGCAAAACAAACATTTAATTGACTCTTTATTTCATTTTTCACCTAATTTCCGATTTATTTTAAGTTTATTTTAAATTTCCGATTCTTCTGGAGACTTTTTAAGAGGAAACACGACAGAAAAGTATTTTTTTTAAAGATATAAACTGTACATGTAATATATTTCCAGCATCGACAAAACAGCATATTTAATTTATGCCAAAAAAAATCTGAACGTTTTTAAAGTTAATCATATTTTCATTTTTTATATGTTTAAACAAGAAAAATGCGACTTTTAATATATTTCAAGCGTCACGTATTTCTTTAATGCAAACTAAAAAGGATTACCGTAATTTCCAGACTCTACAGCGCACCCTAAATAATACATAAATAAAATCCATAAATTAGCCGCAGCATGGATTATGCCGTGGTGGCGGCTTGTAGTCTGGAAATTACGGTGATTGTTTGACGCGGAGGTTTTTAATCCAGATTAAAGCTTGGACATCATCTCATCGTCTCTGCTGAAGCTGAGCTGCTGTCGCGTGAACATCGTTTTGTTGGAACCACAAACCTTTCCGCTCCTAAACGTCCACATGCAGAACTACAGTAAACACGTCAACAACAACAGGATTGATGATGTCATCACGCGGCGGCGGCGTGCGTTGTATTTATTCGTTGTTTGTAGAAAGTTTGTAAATATTGAAGCCGGTCGGGGCGGAAACGCTTAACTAGAGGTCTTGAATTAAACCTTTGACTTTTATCACCACTATCATGATGAAACTGTGCCCTCCTTTCAAAATAAAACACGGCATTCCTTCAAAATAAAAGCCATTATGGCAGGTTTCCTTGGATTTGAACCCTTTAATGTTTTTTTTCTCGTGTACATAAACGATGACTTCATTTGTTGTTGTAAATAAGGGCCTCTTTTGTGTGTTAATTTCCTGAACTGTACCTGTGGAACTTCCTGTGGAAAAGCAAAAGATAAAAATAAATTCTGGGGGTGGAAATTAACGAAAAAGTAAATAAATAGGGTGGGGCATTTTTATTTTTTTAATGTGTAAAGAGTTTGACGGCTCGTGGAGCGTTTATTCCAGAAACTCTCCAGCAGTTTGTTGATTTGGGTGAATGTCCTGAGAGTGACGAGCTCTTCCACAGGAGGTCAGAAGTCCTTGTTGTATAGCTTCCTGCATGTTCCTTCATATACCAACATGTTATCTTAGTGTAGTCCGTAGAGTAGAAACAAGCAAAATATTAAAAACTGCATCAGCAGCGCCGTGTCTGTGGCCTTCATTGTTCCTGCGCTCGGCTGAAGTGCTTCAGGATGAGGCGCTGCCGGAGCTCCTCCGCCTGGCGGTCGCGGTTCTCGGGTCTCTGCTCGAGGCTCCTGGGCTGCTCGAGGGGCTCGGTCCTCTCCAGGGTCCAGGCGTCCAGTCCGGACTGGAGCGAGGCGTTGTGGAGGACGCAGCAGGCCAGCAGGATGGACGAGCTCTTCTCCGGAGAATACTGCGAACGCAACAAAAACTCTTAACGCCTTTAAAGTGACGTTGCTCTGCTGCCTTGGAGCGGCGGCGCAACGCACCTGCAGCCATCCGTTGGTGCCGTCCAGACATCTGAACCTGGTCTGGATGGCTCTGAAGGTTCTGTCTACGATCTCATGTGTCGTGGCGTGGGACAGGTTGTACTGAAACTCCGCGGGGGATTCTGGGTGCTCGACCGGGGTCATCAACCACTTCCTCAACGGATAACGACAGTCACCTTCAAGGAGGAAAAACATTAACTTTCCTGCTGACGTGACTGTTTCCCTGCTCTTCAGCAGGTCTTCAGGTTCTGCAACAGCCCGTTAATCACTCATCCAAATCCAGTGCGCTGGAGCAAAAGAACATCTAAACCAGGTGTGTCCAAACCTGGTCCTGGAGGGCCACCGTCCTGCATGTCTTACATCATGAATCAGGTGCGTCGGAGCAGGGAAACGAGTACAACATGCTAAATGGCGTTCCTCAGGGAGTAGGGTTGGGAACCACTGTTTTTGATCATGAATCAAGTGCGTCGGAGCAGCAAAACTAGTAAAACATGCTGGATAGTGGCCCTCGAGGACCAGGACTGGACACCCTTGATCTAACTAAAGGGCTAATGCTCTCACCCAGTAGCCAGCCCTCCTCAATGTCCTTCAGCTGTTTGTAGACAGCAGACCTTTCCAGAATAACCGTTTCCTCGAGTCCACCAGGCCACTGCGTTTCAGCGCTGAGTAGCAACCCTCGGGCGTCACAAACCAGCTGACAGGCCACTGAGTGAAAGCAGTTCTTATTGACGTACGTAAAGTCTTCGCTGTTCGGAGCTTTGATTGGGACCTGGACACGGAGACAGAGACCTGGTTACATAATTTCAAAAATAATCTTTTGACTTGTAGCAATCCACACGTTTCTTCATTACAACCTGAACACAATCCAGAACCCCAAGGACTCCTGGAAACCCTGCCCTCCTCTGAAACTCCTGAAAGGACTGCTCTCTGCTGGAGAGAGCTCTGCTTGGAAAACGTATTTTTCTTGTCATTACCTTTAACACTAGGACAAAAGTTGTCGAAAACGTTGCAGCAAACTGTACCTGTGGAAAGTGATGAACTGCGGTGCTTTCTCCACCAGCGCTTTGGTCACATGGGACACACACCTGGACATGGACGCCTGGCTGATCCCTATCGTGTCCCCCATCGACGTCTGGAATGAGCCAGATGTGTAGAAGCCCAATGCAGCCAAGACCTGCACCTCAGGACTGATGGCTCTGGACCTCTGGGTTCGTCTGCTCAGAGACTGGCGTAAAACAATAAATTAAAAAGTAATGCATCTATGTTTCATTAGGAAACAATAAGACACAAACACACCTCTCTGAGTAACTCCACCAGGTACAAGATGAAATGTCTCGGGAAGCCGAAGTGAGTCAAGAGGAAGTCGTCTGAGACGGAGTCCAGGTCAAAGCGGTCCAGAGTCTTGTGGCCTCGGCCGTGTAGGAGCAGATCGCAGTCTAAGATCGCTATAGGAACGGCCATGTTAGCTGAAACCCCACCCCCCCATTAATTTAAAGGTTTATTATACTTGTTTACTTTCTGACACTTCAAGTAGTTTGGAAAAATTCAGAGAAAAATACAAAAAAAACAAGCTTTTAGCTACTGTTTTACAATTTTAGCTTTTAGCTAGCATTCTTCTAACTCCATATTTTAGCTACCATTTAGTTTATTTTAGCTGTCAACTGCTCTGGCTGGCTTTAGTTTTTTTAGCTGATGTTTTGAAATATTTACCTACTTTTTTGCTAATTGTTAATTTTAGCCACTGTTACGCTGGTTTTAGCTATGTGTCCTGCTAAGTTTAGCTTTTTTTATCTTATTAATTGTTAAAACCTTTATTAACCTTAATTAATTAATACATTAATCAGCGTGACCTCAGCAGAAGTAAGGAGGACCTTCAGGAGGATTAATCCTCACAAAGCAACCGGCCCAGACAACATCCCTGGAGAACCGATCAACAGAGGATGCCATCTCCTCTGTGGTCCACACTGCACTCAACCACCTGGAGCAGAAAAACTCTTACGTCCGTATGCTCTTTGTGGACTTCACATCCGCCTTCAACACCATGATCCCCCAAACCCTGATGGACAAACTATCCACACTAGGACTAAGCCCCTCCATCTGCAACTGGGTACTAGACTTTTTAACAAACAGACCACAGTTAGTGAGGATCCACAACCTCTCCTCCTCCACCATAACCCTCAGCACTGGCTCTCCTCAGGGATGTGTGTTGAGCCCCCTTCTGTTTACTCTGCTCACGTATGATTGTGCAGCTACCCATCCAGGCTGTCACATTGTAAAGTTTGCAGATGATACAGTGGTGGTGGGATGCATCACAAACAATGATGAGTCCAGCTACAGGCAAGAGGTGGAACACCTGGAGAGCTGGTGCAAAGAGAAGAACCTTCACATCAATGTGAAGAAGACAAAGGAGATGGTTGTGGACTTCAGAAGGAACAAAAACATCTACACCCCCCTGAACATAAGAGGATCTGTGGTGGAAGTGGTCTCCAGCTACAAGTACTTGGGTGTCCACCTGAACAACAACCTCAGCTGGAGCAACAACACCACCAGCCTGATGAAGAAAGATCATCAGAGACTCTACTTCCTCAGACGGCTGAGACGAGCTGGTCTGGAAGCTCAGTCCTCACCTCCTTCTACAGGTGTGCAGTGGAGAGCATCCTGTGCTCCAGCATCAACGTGTGGCATGGAGGCTGCACAGCTGCAGAAAGAAAAGCTTTGCAGAGAGTGGTGAAGGCTGCACAGAAGATGTTGGAGTCAGTCTCCCCACCATCACAGACATCTACACCTCCAGATGCAGGAAGAGGGCCACCTGCATCATGAAGGACCACACCCACCCAGCACACACACTTTTTGCCCCACTCCCCTCAGGAAGGAGGTTGAGGAGCATTAAGTGTAGAACCACTAGACTGAGGAACAGCTTCTACCCTGAGGCTGTTAGACTCATGAATCTCTAACCAGAATAATCACTGTGAAAAATCACATGTTGCTGCTGATCTGTTTCATGTTGCTGCTGATCTGTTTCATGTTGCTGCCGATCTGTTTCATGTTGCTGCTGATCTGTTTCATGTTGCTGCCGATCTGTTTCATGTTGCTGCCGATCTGTTTCATGTTGCTACCGATCTGTTTCATGTTGCTGCTGATCTGTTTCAATGTTGCTGCTGATCTGTTTCAATGTTGCTGCTGATCTGTTTCATGTTGCTGCCGATCTGTTTCATGTTGCTGCTGATCTGTTTCAATGTTGATGTGTTCATGCGTGCTCATCTGCTCACAGACTCATGTTCATGTTTGTGCTGATGTTCAATGTTTTATGTTATGAGTGCTTAGTGTATATTTAGTTGATGTTTTTCTTAGTTCATATCTTAGATGTTATTACTGTTTTTCTTATACATTTTATTGTTGGATGTAACTGGGACCCTGTGTACATAATTTCGCTCCACCATATGTACCACATGAGGTGCGAATGACAACAAAGAATCTCTGACTGATTAAAATCAGGTGTCTCTTGTAAATGAGTCCCCGAGGCTCAATGGGACTAACTTGTCTAAATTAAAGTTGAATGAATTAAAAAAAATCCACTTCTGTCTAAAACTGCATCTCGTTTATTTATTTATTTTTAATAAATACACACGGATTGTAAATTAATAGGTGAGCAGAACTACATAAATCAAACATACGCGTGCACATTCACTTGTATAGTTTAGACCATAGATATAAACACTGGTTATATGATTTCTATGGTTTAGACACTATGAAAAATAAATTTAAGCTTCTTGAGCTTAAATGCTAAGCTAACAAGCTTCTAGCCAACTAGCTTCTTTGCACGAAAGCTAACATTTTAACTTCTCGTCATCATGAAGAGACTTAAAGCTGAATGACTTTAACACAACGATGAACATATAGTTTTAAAATAACGACAGCTTACCTTTAAAGAAGCAGAATTCGTGAGAAAAGGTACCTACTTGAAATTCGTCAACCAAAACGAGAAATGACCGCCCAGATACGCCTTCCGAATTTGGCTGCAGAGATACCTACTTGACCAAAACAAAGCACAGAACTTAACTGGCGATACACTCCCACAGATTCGACACACAAATCAAATAAGATTTATTTTTCTATTCGTGTAAATTCACACATATAATACAATATTTATTTTTTTATCTCTAAAAACGTATATTATATTCCAACTATTTGAGTACTTAATTAAGATTATTTAAACGAAAGTGGGATTAAGAAACGTGTGCTACATAAACAAAGTATCGGAAGCATAGATCCGCCATCTTGGAAGGGTCGCCCGCTCCACTCAGGGTGACCCGTTTGTCAGGAGCAATGAAGTATGTGCGCGTTGAATCAGTCAGTGCTGAATACTATGAAGTATGTGCGCGTTGAATCAGTCAGTGCTGAATACTAAACTCATTCTCACGATCTTTTCCTCTGTTTGTCTCAGGAGTACAGCCATTAAAGCTGAACACATGGTTCAGTGCTTTTAAATATTCTTGGTGGAGTTAATAATAACACTAATAAAATATTCTGATGCTGTTCAATAATCCAGGTAGAAAAATCCAAAAAAATTCAATCTGGTCCTCTGGACATTCAAAAAAACAAAACAAAATATTTTTATGGCAAGTTTTGCAAAACTCACAGTCACGGAAACATTTTTATTAATATCCATATATTAATATATATATTAATATATATATAATATATATAT